GACTTTTGACTGCAGTTCTTTTTTATATTTTAGAGTAAATGCTTTTGATATGCTCTTAGGTTTCTTAATATCCGTCTGAAATTCTGGACTGTGGTCCTTTTTTTCGATTAGGAGTCGTATATTTAAATAACTCACCGTGACTAATGTTTTGCATTATGAAGTATATTATTATGAAGGTCAACACACTGTACTTTAGGTAAATATTTACTATCTCGTTATTTCGCTTTCCAGCATTTACAGGAAATGCTTCATTCTAGAAAATGCTATCGCAAAACGGTTGGAAATAATAAATGTAACAGCAGAATACGTCCTAGCACAGTCACTCGACTAGGAGAGTGATTGTGGTCCTTGTAATAAACTAAGTGACTTCCAAAAACTGAATGGTGTTTGCGAACTTCGTATTAGTTATAAACCGACGTTAGCTTCGCGTTTATGTCACACCATGGAAACAGCCAAAAACATGGTGCTTGTTTTTGAGCGGAGCGGATCGCCAACCAGCCTACCGGCTTGTCACAATTGTTTATTTCAAAATTGTTTTATATTATTATTCTGGGCATAAGTCATCATCAGGTTTTGCTTTGTACTTGGCACAAACACTCTGAGAATATTCTAGGGGTGAAACAATTCATACCTCCTAATGTATTTCTTGCAGATAACATTTTAGGGGGTATTGGGCTCATATAAATTCCTTAAATTTATTTTTCACAAAGAGATGAGCCAACTGAAGTGTTGATTACAACAAGTTGTGATAACAAATGTTCATACTGTTGGCGTTGTAACTTGCACCAGGAAATAATCAGATCATGCAGCAGTGTCTGGTTGTGGGGTCTTCTAAGTGTGCTCAAATCACAAACAACATTATCATGACTTTGCTGTGACAGTGACTTCTGGTTTAGTGACTGACACTGTGTACTCAAACTTTGAAATTTTCATGTGTTCATGTTTTTTTATATTTAGTAACTATTTTGGCTTAAATTTCACTTTTTGGTCTACATGCACAAGCTGAAAAGCAACATGTGCAGTGTACATGTATCCAAGTATTTCAAACAATGACCCACCTCTGTATTAATAATTTGCAAGTATAGTTCCTTTTCATTGTACAATTTTTCGAAAATCTTTAAGTACTGCAATTATTTTATTTCAGTGGATTACAGCTATAACCAAGATGATCCTAGTCAGTTTCAATCCACTGTTTTTCGGCCCATTGCTGTGCACGCATGTAGTTATTCTTCACTACCTAGCTACATACCGCCACCTCTGTATGAGCCTCCAAATGTTTTTCAACCGGTGTATAATGGAAACCAGTCTCAATCAAGAGTAACAGAAAATCCATGCATGGCACATATTAGACCCACCACATTTGTAGGTATGTAAACATATGTTTGAATATCAGTGGTGTTGCCAAAATATTGTCACTACCTCAGAGAAAACGAATTAGCACATTGACTTAATTTGTATCTGTCTTTGATAGACATGCTTCACCCAAAATACTGCTCTTTGTGATCAGTTTTTCACTTTCACTGAAGAAATTTTGCCCTTAAAAACAGAAGGCCCTCCAAGAACATCAGAGAGGGCACTATCCATAAAGTCTTTATTTATCTAAACTTATTATTGTGTCTGGATAATTATGGTGAAACAGTACAAGAAACCCCTCTTGCTACACAAAATAATATCGTACAGTAAACTGTTTTTCATTTGCTGTTAGGAAAAACTGTCACTCCAGTTTCTCAATTATCTGGAACAATTGGCAGCAATTCTATATCACCCATTGATCTGTCTCCATCGGCTTGCAAGCTTGATAACAACAGTACACCATCACCAAGTAATATAACGTCTAGAGATAAACGAAAAAGAGCCACTTTTTCCAACATTCAGTTGGACAGACTAAATGCCAGGTATCAAGAGAAAAAGTATCTGAAGACTAGTGATAGGAAAGTCCTTGCCACTCAGTTGGATTTGACAGAGAAGCAAGTAAAAAACTGGTTTCAAAATCGGAGGATGAAGGACAAAACTTGTGAGTGTCAAACGCAACCTTTGGAACACCATATTTTGTGTAATTAAAAACCAAATGGACATAATTTATATGTTCTAAAATATTTGAATAATATGAAAAAAATTCTGCTGAATTTTATGAAAAATGTTTGATGTTCAAAGATGAACATATTAATTTGAAATTATTCCAATTGCCTACAAAACATGTATACATATTTTTCCTTTATAAAGATGATTATTTGTGTTTATAATGTTGAATCTTCTTGAACATCCACTCTGTTCTGTGATGGCATTGCTTAGAAATAGATGCACTCCTGGAAAATATGTGGAATCTCAATTGTAAACCCTTATCACATTAAGAAAACTATTATTTATAAAAATATTATTTATATAAATCAATAGTAATTGTCTGACTGTCCCATGGCTTCTTGACCCTCATATATACCTATGATTTTTACACCATTTGTAACCAAACACAATTTTGAGATAAGGTGACAACTTTTTACCATCAATATCTAATCTGTTTTGTGTAAAAATTAGTTTGGTGACCACATATAGATATATTTGTCTTTGTTAGATGAGCAGTAGCGTAAAATAAAATCATAGTAGGAATTTATTTTAATGGTACCCAACTACCTTAAGTACAATTACCTTTTATGCTTGCACTTTGCATTAGAACAAGTTTTCTTGAACCCACCTGGCACTAAAAAGGATTTTTAAAAAAAATTGTACAATTTGAGAAAATTCAAAAGTCCAATTAATTACAACATTTCCCCTTGTTTATTTCAGTCAAGAAGAACATAAAGGCAGATGATGGTGATGAGAAAAAAGATGAAAAATCACTGAATCAACTTGAAGTAGAAGAGTCAGTTAAATTGAAGAAGGCTGATGAAAAAGAGCAAAATGATGAATGTGTTTGACAATGGTTATCAGTGCAAAGTCACTAAACTTTTATAGTCTGAAACAAGGGTTTATACTTTGGTTTCCAACCATCTAGTTGCTTACCCATTCAACATAATTTCTTGGCCATGTCTGGACAAATTTTGTTCAAAGTTGGAACAAAGCAGATTCTATTTAAAAATGTGATTGACATCACTCATGATGGTGGATTACTGATGCACATCATTTTGTTTGTGATTTCATTCAAATTGACAGGAGGCTATTATGTTCTCTAAGTTAAGTTTTTTACCCATTTCTCAGATGCACTTTCATAGATTCTGTTTAAATCTTGTACAAACTGGCAGTCATTTTCATCAAAAACAAAATAAATTTACAAAATTTAAGCATGTCATCAATTGATCAGTTTTGCTGTGATTTATATATGCCGGTACATGTAAACAAAATAAGTAAATTCTGTGGAAATCAGGGCCTCAACTTTTTTGTTTTTACCTCAAGTCACATACAATTTTATTTTGTTCTTGGAATGGCTGACCATTTTGACATTTGTGATTTCTACAAATTAGTC